CTGGATCCCTGGAAGTGTCCAAGGCCAGGTTGGACTGGACTTGAAGCAACCTGGGCTATTGGAAGGTGTCCCTGCCCATGGCAGGGGGTTGAACTGGATGGTCTTTAAGGTCCTTTCCAGTCCAAACCATTCCATGATTCCGTGGCTGATTGTCTGTGTTTCTCCTGGAAAAGGAGCCCAAGAGGCAGCAAGTGTGAAACGAGTAAAATAATCCTTTCTCTGCTGTTGCAGAGGTAAATTTTTGACCTCCCTGCTGCAGGTTTTCCAGCTGAAAAGGGTACCCATGGTTGAGAAAGGAATTGGATGGAAGCAGGGATGGATGGTTTATTTAACTGTGCTGACCTGGGTGTGTTCTCCAGGTCAAAGCACCTGAAATGGGTTTCTGGAAGCTGGAGAACACATCACCAAAATGCTCTGTATTGCTTTGCCACAACCTTTCCTAAGAATTTGCTGTAGCCCAGACCCAGGAGGGACACCCTGGGCACAGCAGACCTTTAGTTTGGCTTGGTAGTACAGATTTTACTCTTTTGGGACACACTGGTTTCTGTTTCCAAACATGCCTCTTTGTTTATGAGTGGGTCCTGCTTAAATCATGGCAGAATAACAAGGCAGGGAAAGCCTTTTGACAGGAATAACTGGAATTCTTGACACCTTCAAGCTCACTCAGGTTAAATACTTTAAATACATTTATTTATGATTCCACAAAGTCAGTATACTTCAAATAACGCAAGTACATTGAATTTAAATTGTTTTATTCATACCGATGCACCGTTGTTGCTTTGCTCCCTTTTTTATTGCTTTTAACAGTGTTTGATTTTCTTTTTCCTTTCCAGTGGTCTCATTGTCCCTGAGAAGGACAGCAATGAAACAGTCCCTGAAGTTGTAGCCACTTCTGGATATGCTCTCCTACATTTCTTCAGTGATGCTGCCTATAACCTCACGGGCTTCAACATCACCTACAAGTGAGTGGCACCACCCCAAAGCCAGGCTGCAGGGGGAGCAAAAGGAGAATTTTCCCTCTTTTCTCACCTTTTTCCTGGAAATCATCACTTGCCCTGAAGTGTGTAATTATGAGCAGACACTTGAAATTAGATTTTTCTCTTTTATTACACCCTTTGTGACAGTCAGTGACTGGGATGTGCTCGACGTTGTCGGCTGTGGGGGTGAATGTTTGCCCCCAAAGGCATCCTGTTATTTATTTTATGTTATTAAATGGGTTTGATCCTGTTTAATCAGCCAGGATTGATGTGTTTTGTGCATGCCTGTGTGTTCTGCAGAGAGAATTCTGCACAAACACACTTTTCCATCAGCAT